TAAAGGTTTGGAGTTGAAATTCAAGAAAAAGTATGAGAGAAAGGATTTGAAATGCAGCATGCATGCATGCTAAGATGCTTTAGTCATGTCCAACTCTCTGCAACCCTATGGACTGTAGCCCGCCAGGCTCCTCTGTCCAAGGGATTCTCCAGACAAGAATACTGGAGTGGGTTGCCATGCTCTCCTCCAGGGGATCTTCCCAACCCAGGGATCGAACCCACGACTCTTACATCTCCTGCACTGGGAGGCGGGTTCTTTACCACTGTGACTCCATTGAAACACAGGCCATCCAAAAGGTCCAACATTCTACAGAGTCCCAGAATAAAGAACAGAGAAAACAGAAAGGAAAAAAAAGTTGACCCAAGAAATATTAGCAGAATTAATGCACACAAAATCTCTAAAACAAAGCAGCACAACTATTCAACACTATGTCTGAAAAAGACCCACCCTAGACCCTGTCTCACACAAGCTCCAAACATCAAGGACAAACAAATGATTCTAAAAGCTTCCAGGAACAACCAAAAAAAAAAAAAAAAAATTCATCTATGAAGGAATGAGGCAACCAGCCTCCTCTTCAGCAACGCTGCCTGCTAAAGACAAGGAAGTGATACTATCAAAGTTGGAAGGAAAAACTTTTGACCGAGTCTACTATACTCAGCCAAATATGAATCAACCAAATTCAAAGACAGAACAAAGAAATTCAGATAGCACACCTTTAAGGAAAGCCATTGAACTCATATCAACTATGTGCGCAACAACATTAGGGCGCTGCGATCTGAGGAACTGATTGATTAAAGGAGTCAATAACTTTTATCTAATTGGAATAAATCTAGAAACGTGGCCCAGCAGGTTCAAGAAGTAACCCTCAGAGGAACTAAAAACATAAAATAGTTAAAACGGATTCTCTGAAGTGTACTTTCATTATGAACCCTCTGTACGAATGGATTTGTTACTATCTGCAAGTATTACCTGGATCTTTTTTTTTTTAATGTAAAAGCATGCATAGAAGAGGCTAGGAATGAGCTCTTTTATGAGACACAAAAAAGGGACTCTGTTTTGGCAGCCCAGATGCCTTTCTTACATTTCTTCCTGTTTCACTCTCTGTTGTTTACAGTTGAACTGAATTAATAGTGACCTTCAATTAGGATCTACAGCACAAAGTACTGAGAACTTTTTTAAAAGTAGTATTCTACAAAACATACACAAGAGGGCAGTAAAACTCTATAATACTCTACCAAAATAGCAACTTGAAATTTTCAATTTATTTTCATGTTAGCCTTAGATTCTTTTCCTAGAAAGCAATAAATAGCTGTGACTTTCATAACAAAAAAAGCAGGCAGCATTCAGATACAACTAAAGCATCTTTCAGCTCTATATCTGCATTTTGTATCTATACAGTATTCAATGTACGTCATTAATACTTTTAACACTGTTAGAAATCAAAACAGATTTTAATTAAATAGATGTGTGAAGTTGTGAACATCAGGGCCCATACTGGACACTACCGCAGCCAGTTCTCACTAGTCTCTACTTCCACAGCCGATAATGGACTTGGAACTCCAAGTCTCCATTCTGCTGAGCAGAAGCAAGTTTCGGAACAAAGATCCTGCAAGACAGTGGCCACCAGACACTAAAGAATACTTTCCAGAGATTATCTTAGAAGATTAGGAAACCCAAGGAAAAGTGTCATATAAAGTTCTTACCTTTGCTGTGCCAGTCTGAGAACCATAAAATATCTTCACTCCAGACACAAAGACTTCCTTCTTTGGACGAGAGATATAGCCATTCGTCATCAAATCCTGAGATGCTCTTGGAACGGTTTTCTCCTGTGAGTTCTTGTTCTTGAAATAAACACAAAATCCATCAAGTTTCAATATTCTCCCAACTTTATTAGGGATGAACATTAGCTCAGATACTGACCCGTTTTATTCTCTTAATCTTTTGATTGTACTCCTCAAATACTGACTCCTTGATATAATTAGGTTCTTTAAAACCAGGGACCACATTTCTTAAGACTATAATGATTCCCATTCCCTCCAGGATAAAATATTACACATACTTTCACCTATGATGTGTTTTAGTGGAGTAATAGTACAAATTTATTTTCTGATTCTAATTAGTGGAAAGAAAAGAGACTACTATCCCTTAAAGGTGCTGAGCAGATTTTTGGTATTTGCAAAATTTAATTTTTCATTACAAAATCCTCCTGTATCTTAAGAATGCGATGTCCACAGTCCAGCAAAGAAAAGCTAAATAACTTAGTCTATAAAAATTGACAAGAGGGATTTCCCTGGTGGGCCAGTGGCTAGGACTCTACGCTCCCAATGCAGGGGGCCCCCCGTTCAATCCCTCGTCAGGGAACTAGATCCCACATGCCACAGCTAAGACCCAGTGGAACCAAATAAATAAATAAAAACACTTTTTTTAATTGACAAGAAAAAAATGGGGGCATGAAAAAAGTATGTCTAGAGACCAATGTGAAAGTAATCAAAAGTTCTTTTTAGAAATTCCATATTTTTTCTGGAAGCCTTAGAAAATCTGCACTCTGAAGTCTCTATAAAATCTGATGCCAAATACTCTCCTGTAAAAAAAAAACACAACAACTCCACTCACCTGCTTCCTGATGACAATCTGGAAACAAATCCAAAGGCTAAAACCAAAGGCAAAGCCCAAGTATATGTAAAACCTGTTTATCCATAACGATATTAAAGGTGAGGAGAAGTCCCATGTATCCAAAGTGGGATCTAAATTTAAAATGATCCATATAAACAATTTTATTTATAAAGTTACACATACAATGCTGCCCATCCTTATAAGCATTATAAAAGAAAAGCCAACCTTCATATTCAAAAACCCTGCTCAGAAATCTATAAAATGCAACTCTAATAAAACAACACATACACATTATGTGATAACATGACATAATTACCATAATGATAAAATGCTAATTCAAAAAATAAAAATTTTTATTTTCATCTAGATATAGCATTTGAAAGGAAAGGAATATAAAGTCAAAACATTGAATTTGGAATTATGAGTTAATTTTTCTTTTTGTTAGCTGCTCCATCAGAAAAGCTTAAAATAATACTAAAAGTATTCCTTTTTTTTTTTTCCTAATTTTATTCTTAGAGACCCAAAGCTACTTGCAAAGGATTCTCAAACAACTGACCTCAAGCCCCACAGTTTTTAAGGGAGATTTGGATGGACCTGGCCTCAAAAGCTGAGTCTGGGGGCAATTTAAAAAGACGAAGTCTAAAATTTGGGGTTTACAGATGCCACTCTGCCCTGGAAAGGACCAAAAGTCCTCAACACACGTGGGTAATCGGGAAAGGCAGTTTTCTCTGCGTTTTACCTGAGGGCAGAAGCACAATTCTAAATTCATCTCCTAGCCTCAAAAGGCAAAAGCCAGGTCACAAGCATGGATCAGTCCTCCCAAGCGCCCAGCGGCACCGATCCTAGCCGGAAAAGGGCAACACATTCTAGAGGAAGGGGCCCGAGGGTCTCAGAAAAATGATTTCCTCCCTTCCTGGCCCCACGAAACTTGCCCGTCTGGGGCCCTTACCCATTCTCCTCAGAGCCTGAGCCCTGCGGCCCGACAAGAGACCAGATCTGCGGACCTAGAAACTTAGGGTCCGGTGTGAATACTAGGAGGCCGCCAGAACTACCTCGCAGCACTAGCTGTGTGCCCGGAGACAGAGGAGCTGAGGACAGCCATGCCAGTTGCAGATCGTCCCGATTGGCTCAGAGGGGGAAGGGGCGGGCCGAGGGGGAAGCTCCGCCCAGAGTTCGGTGGGAGAAAGCCAGAGCCCCCCGGGCCCTGCTCGGATTGGCTCAGAGGATAAATGGGCGTGCCCAAAGAAAAGCACCGCCCAGAGCTCCGGGCGAGTTAGCGGGAGGGTTCCCAGCCCCAAACAAATGACCCTGAGGAGGAAGGCCTGGGTGTTGACAAAGCACGGATGGAGAAGGAGAGTTGTTCAGTCACTCAGTCACGTCCTACTCTTTGCGACCCCATGAACTACAGCACTCCAGGCTCCCTTCCCTTCGCTATCTCCCCGAGTTTGCTCAAACTCATCTCCATTGAGTCGATGATACCATCCAACCATCTCATCCTCTGTCTTCCCCCTTCTGCCCTCAATCTTTCCCAGCATCAGGGTCTTTTCCAGTGAGTCGGCTGTTTGCATCAAGTGACCAAAGTACTGGAGCTTCAGCATCATCCTTCCAACTGATATATTATATCCAACTCATATATATAGTCCTTCCAACTGATATATACCAACATTCAGGATTGATTTCCTTTAGGATTGACTGGTTGGATCTCCTTGCTGTCCAAGGGACTCAAGAGTCTTCTCCAGCACCACAGTTCAAAAGCATCAATTCTTTGGCACTCAGCCTTCTTTAAGCTCCAACTTTCAGATCCGTACGTGACTACTGGAAAAACAGGAGTAGTTTGCGGTGGAGGGAAGGTTGGAGGGGCGAGAGAAGAGGTCTGCGTTAAGAGATTAAGGGTGTCATTAACCAAATGCAACGTGTGAGCCCGTTTGAATCTCAATTGAAACACACAGACTGTAAAAAGTCATTATTTAGGGGAAAATTAATTATGGACTGGCTAGGAGATGCTATTAAGGGATTATAGTTAATCTTGTTGGATTTATCTGTTGGAAATTTAGCTCTTATGACGATTTGCCTTAATATACTCCAACAAAAAAAAATGAGGGAGAATGAAACAAGAATGGCAAAATGTTGATAACTGTTGAAGCGGGGTGATGGGTATATGGCAGTTCATTACACTTTTTTCTCTATGTTTTTGGTGTTAAACTTTTTCCATCATGAAAGGTTAAGATGGACTCTGAAATCGGCGGAACTGTGAGGAGTCAAGCACTGCGTTTCCACCCGGTCACCAAACTTCGGCTCCACCAACCAATCGGAGTTGTTTCGTTGAAGAAAGAGCATTACGTCAAGAAAGAGCGCCTCTCTTTCCCGGCGCGGAACAATGCCGTAAAAGTCAAAATGCGCAGACGTTATTGGTCCCTCTTCCTCTCCGGGTTTCCGCAGCACCTGACGCCTGCGCAATAAGTTGGGTGGCTGTATTGTGGCGGCCGCGTTAGTTTACGGCGCCGCGCAGTCTGCGGGCGTTACTGGGCTGCGCGCCGCCGAGTAGTTACATCTAGGTGCGGGTGGCCCTGTGGCCAGCGGCGCGGGCCTGCCTTTGTTCGCCGGCCCCAAGATCTGTGAGCGGCCAAGATGTCGATCTTCACCCCCACAAACCAGATCCGCCTGACCAATGTGGCCGTGGTACGGATGAAGCGAGCCGGGAAGCGCTTCGAAATCGCCTGCTACAAAAACAAGGTCGTGGGCTGGCGGAGCGGCGTGTGAGTGACCCTCTCCCTCTGGGCCTTGGCCGGAGCGGGTAGCCTCGGAAGCGGCCTCCCTCTGGTCGTCTAATGAACCGGCCAAACTGGGGTTTTGTCAGCGAAGGAGAATGGGAAACTTGATTTCCTGCTGTCTGGGCTTCGCGTCTAAACCAAACGTTTCCTTTTATCATTGGTAGTTTTGGTTTGGGGCTTGGTTATACTTTGCTTTGTTGGTGTCATAAAAACTACAGCAAGAAACCTCCATAATCGGAGTCCTTTTCTCAAAATAATCATCACGACAAAGGGCGTAGTGTTCCAGGTACTTCTGTAGTTAGTGCGTCTGTCACAGTTCTCTGCCCAGTAGTTTCACCATCACTGCTGCCATCTAGGGATCGGAATTCCTTGGCACTAGTCGGACCCCACCCGTCAGTGATTCACCCATATTCCCACGACGTTTTTCCCCTATAAGTGAAAGCGAATCCAAACGGAGTTCTGGGTTTTGAAAATGTCACCGAGAGTCATTTAGGAGTATTTGTTGTTTCTTACATTATCATTGCCCATCTTGTCTTTTAAGTGTGAACGAACGTCCAACTTTCAAGAGTACTCACATAGGACTTTCTCTTCTATCCTCACAAGGGAAAAAGACCTTGATGAAGTGCTACAGACCCACTCAGTGTTTGTAAATGTCTCCAAAGGTCAGGTTGCAAAGAAGGAAGATCTCATCAGTGCGTTTGGAACAGATGACCAGACTGAAATCTGTAAGCAGGTGAGTTCTCAGGGCCGCAGCATCATTGACCCTGATATCCGTTAGCATTAGGTATTGTGTTACAGGTATGTTAAGGTTTAATAATTTACTTTTTTTTTTTTTTGGCGTGAACATTTACTTTGCAATAATTTGATCTGTACATCACTTTTCATAATTAAGGGCATGGATTCTTTTTATATTTATTTATTTGGCTGTGTTGGGTCTTAATTGCATCACGGGCTTAGTTGCTCAGTGGCACGGGGGATCTTTGTTCCCCCATCAAGGAACGAACCTGCATCCCCTGCATTGCAAGGCGGACTCTTAACCAGTGGGCCACCATGGAAGTCCCAGAACATGGATATTTTTTGCAAAAGCCTCCAGAAATCAGATTATCTGCTAAACTGCCTTTTTTGGTCCACTTATATATTTCTTTAGCGTAATAAACCTGAAAAGATAATTTCTTTTCGAGTATTTCATCATTTCCACCCTCTGCTAGGATTGCCTTTACCCCTTCCCCCATCTAAATAAGTAAGATTTCAAAACAAGGTAATCCGGTGCCTCTTTTAGGCAGAGCTCAAATTGTTACCAAATATCAGTAGCTAAAGAGAATGAAATTTAATTTTCTCCCCCAGTATTTCATTCCTGTGGTTAGTTAACAAATAGTGTGGAACAAAGACATTGCTTTCTTAAACTTGTTGGCTTTGTTGTTTTGGGTTTTTTTTTAAAGATTTTGACTAAAGGAGAGGTTCAAGTGTCAGATAAGGAACGGCACACGCAGCTGGAGCAGATGTTTAGGGACATTGCAACTATTGTGGCCGACAAATGTGTGAACCCTGAAACAAAGAGACCATACACCGTTATCCTTATTGAGAGAGCCATGAAGGACATCCACTATTCAGTCAAACCCAACAAGAGCACGAAACAGCAGGTGAGTTGTTTTATATATATATAATAATTTTATTTATTTTTATTTTTGGCTGTGCTGGGTCTTTGTTGCTGCACACACTTTCCTCTAGTTTCAGTGCATGGGCTTCTCATTGCAGTGGCTTCTCTTGTTTCAGAGCGTGGGCTTTTGAGCACAGGCTGAATAGTTGTGGCACACAGGCTCAGTTGCTCTGCGGCATGGGATCTTCCCAGATCAGGAATCAAACCCATGTCTCCTGCATTTGAATTCTTTATCACTGGGCCATCAGGGAAGCCCAAGACTTCTCGGGCTTCTTGGATACTAGTATCCAAGTATCTTGTGTATCTTGTAGTAGTATACCAAGTAGTAGTATCTTGGATACTAGTACCCAATCAAATGCATGATTTGCCCATATTTTCTCATATTCTGTGGGTTGTCTTTTCACTTTCTTGATAGTTTTTTGAATCACAAAAGTTTTAGTTTTGAAGTTCAGTTTATTTTTTTCCCTGTAGTTGCAAATGTTCTTCATGTCATCTAAAAAAACCATTGCCCGGTCCAGCTAGAAGGAAACTGCTTCATTTTGAATACCTTCCTCAGTTATGCATCAGAAGAGAAAAAGAAGTTGCAAACATTTTTTCATTTTGTCTTGATAGGCTTTGGAAGTGATAAAGCAGTTAAAAGAGAAAATGAAGATAGAACGCGCTCACATGAGACTTCGGTTCATCCTTCCAGTGAATGAAGGGAAGAAGCTGAAAGAAAAACTCAAGCCACTGATCAAGGTTATCGAAAGTGAAGACTACGGTCAACAGTTAGAAATTGTAAGATTAGCGTACTCTTGTTTCTTTGCTTCCTCATGACCAAAATAGTTTCTTCTGTAGTCATAAATGTGGCCCAGACATTTAGAAAGTTTAACAGTAAGACATTTCCTGAAACATCTTAACCTAGAACTAGGTAAAAAGGTCAAGATCCCCATAGAACCAGATTGTAACTAAGAACACTTAAGATTTCTTTGTGTTTGTTTTTTAGTTAAATAATTCCCAGTAAGCGGGTATGGGTCATGCTCGTTTTTGATGAGAGAGTATGTTTTACAATGAATCTTCTTTCAGTCTCATTTACCACAGAACATTTTTAAAAAGCAGCAAAAACATCATGTCTTTGGGTCTTCACCCCACAGCTTCAGATAATATGTAAATTCAGCTGTCTGCAAACCCACATCTTAGAGCTTTACAGCTTCCTGACAAATAAATGAGCTCTAGAGCAGGATCTAATGCCTGATGATCTGAATTGGTGCGGATGTGATAGAAATAGAGTGTGCAATAAGTGTACTGTGCCTGAATCATCCTGAAACCTCCCCGCCCCCATCCGTGGAAAAATTATCTTCCATGTAACTGGTCCCAGGTGCCAGAAAGGCCGGGAACTGTTCTAGAGGATTGTTGAACTTCCCACTGCAGATGTGAAACAACGAAACTCTCCAGAGTTCTAAAATCTTTGCAAAACTTTGCACATGGTTTCTAAATAGGCCTTCCACCCCCTTATTTTTTTTCCCTTCAAATGTGGCTCCAGAGAGATGATTTTGTTGAACTATAAATTTCAATGCTAAATTTAGTACGTAGAAGACCACAGCCTTCTAATCCAACCACGTCATTTTACAGCTGAGGAATCTGGAAACATCCTCAGTAGGGAAATCAGGGCCTCATCACAGGGGCCTGTGTGCGTAATGAAGGGCAGAGGCTAGACTAGAAGCTAGCCCCATCCCATGCAGTCAGAGAGAGACCTGGAAAGTGTGGCATATTCATCTCAGAGCAAATTACAGCTTCGTCACTTATAGCTGATTCACTGTGTTGTACAACAGAAACTAATACAACTTTGTACTGCAACTGTACTCCAATTTAAAAAAATTTTTTTTGAAAATGAAAGAAAAGGTAAAGCTGTGTCCATACTGTGGTACCACTCTTCCTCATGTGGTCAGCAGCTGTTTTCAATGTTTCAGGTGTGTCTCATTGACCCCGGCTGCTTCAGAGAAATCGATGAGCTCATAAAAAAGGAGACAAAGGGCAAGGGCTCCTTGGAAGTACTCAACTTGAAAGACGTGGAAGAAGGAGACGAGAAATTCGAGTGACCGTCACCCATCTCTTCAGCTAGCAAACACTAAAGCGTTTTCATTTCCCACAGTCCTGTTTTCTTTGTGTGATCAGCCAAATACTTGTTCAGATGAGTTGCTGTTTTGCATCTTTGTGGCAAACGTGTACACAAAAAGACGTTCCTCAGTAAGTATGATGTGGGATTCATTCAGTTTTAATTATAAAATGGGGTTTTAGGCAAAAGTGAAAATCCAAGATAAAAGTCCAGAGAAGTATTCAGTTGCTGCCTCATGCCTTTGTAGCTTTCCCAGGTGAAAGTTATTTGAGACAACTCTTTCGGATAAAAAGTTAAATTTTGTACATTGTAAGAAATTAGGAGGGTATATCTGTATGACCGAAAAGGAGGATTTGCCAAAAAAGAAAACAGAATGTCTTATTTCTACTTAGTGAAATGTGTGTATGGGGGTAACTGTATCATGACATAATATAAAACTTGGATGATGACTTCCTGATTTTCTGAAAAATAGATATATGATGACTGCAGGACTTTAATATTCATCAAACATGCTGCCATAACTTAGATTATTCTTGGTAAAATATAAAGTCATTTATTTCTAATTCCGAAAGTTTATAATATATATTATTAGAGCTGAAATCTTATGTAAATCAATAAACCACTTTTTATTTTTGTTAAGCTATGGCTTGTATTTCTAGACAGCTTCCTAACTCCCTTTATTTTCGCTGCCTTTTGTCTGGTAGAATGGGCGAGTATGGGCAAGTTCTTAGCAGGATTAAACTTGTTTGTTTGGGGGGAGGGGGTTGTTCGAGGTGGGCTTGTTCTGTTAAATACCTGGTAAATCTTAGTGAAAATAATTTGGGATGTAATTGAATTTGAGTATTAATATTTAAGCACTTAAATAGACAACGTAAAAGTTGTTTAAAATCTGCTTATCTTCAAAAGAGATAGTCTAAAACATAAAGTAGGGTTTCACTCAAAATAAATATACAGATCAGATGTATTTTATGGACGGAAGTATTTTTAAGTGCAAAAGATTTCTTGACCTGAACAAGTCTTGATTGGTTTTATAAGCACATAGAATCCACTGCTAATACGAGCTCTCAGAAGTGCCCCAATTTAAAGAAACTTCAATTGAAATGATGAACTCACAACGTTCATCATTTTTTCTCAAATTTTTTTGAGAAAAAAAATTATCAAATTTTTTCTCATAACGTTAGAAGAAATATTTTTGTTGTTGAATAACATGGGACACACACTTTAATGCTGAAATCTGATACAGTCTTCAAGATCCCCCTCACTGATTCCGTTTTACTTATATAATTTGTTTTTAATGAAGATAATCGAAACTTGAAATCCTGGCAAAAAATTTGAACCAATGAGGTTTACATTTTTTATTTTTAGCTTAAACAGATAAAGCTATGTTTCAGATCAGAAGTCATAATTGCTAAAAATGTTCAACAGCTGCATATCAAAGAGAAAAAGATAAATGTTACTACAAGACTGCCTTAAGTTTTTCCCGTTCTCATACTCATTTCTTCTAAAAAGCTGGAACTTCAAGAAATGTCAAATGTAGACCAATCTGAGTTATGTTTCTGAACCTATGACAAATAAAAAAATGTTTACCTTATATTAATTTCATTATTCAAAATAATTAAAAAGTTTGGTTCATAATCATTTTCCCAGTACTACTGCTGAAATGGATTATCTTAAGGATTATTGATTTATTTTGTTTTTTTTCAATGCAAACTTTACTGTGTACATTGGTCAGGATGACATTCAGAATTCAGCCTCTTCTATTTTCAGAGCTTTTTTCTTTTTATTAGTAATTTTCTAGTGTTTATTTATTTGGCTGCACCAAGTCTCCATGGCATGCGGGATCTTTTATTGCGGCATGTGGGCTCTAGTTCCCTGACCAGGGATTGAACCTGGGCACGTGCATTGGGAGCATAGAGTCTTTGTAGCTTCCCTTATTCCCATACACAATTATTTGCTCCAGCCTGTGTAACCTCATATATTTTGAAATTCCCCATTTGGCCTTGGTTTTTGCCCAACTGTGTGTTATAGAGAGGGCTTCCCAAGTGGCTCAGTGATAAAGAATCCATCCCCCAATGCAGGAGATGCAAGAGACATGGATCTGATCCCTGGGTCAGGAAGATCCCCTGGAGGAGGAAATGGCAACTCACTCCAGTATTCTTGCCTGGAAAATTACATGGAGAGAGGAGCCTGGCAGGCTACATACAGTCCATGGGGTCAAAAAAGTCAGACACGACTGAGCATACACAGTGTTACAAAGAGCTGCTTAAACATCTGCCTGGCATGCTAGATGGTGAGCAGCTCAAGGGCTGGAGATGAGCCAGCTCTGTATCCCACCATGGTTTGGACCTCGTAGAATAGACATCTGGGGAGTATAATAAGCATACTCTCAGTGGGGGTTCATGCCATCAGAAGTGAGGATGAGTAATGACAAATTTGGCTGACTGATGACTTTTTCAAATCCATCAGTAAAGCTCGATTGAGTTTTGTCAGCTAAGCCAGAGCTTCCATTGTTCATACCCATGCGTGCTGGTGTGCCGCTGGTGGTTTCTGTCTGCACATATCCCCTCAGCCCTCAGGGCCTTAATGTCAGCCAGCAAGCAGCCTCTCACACTGACCCCACGGTGTCTACATACACGTGCCCTGGGCTGTGATGGGGGGAAATAGCTCAGTACTCATTACTGTAAGCAGAAGCCACACACTCGATTTTAACCTGCATGCTACCCTCAAACCCCCATTGTGAGGTCCCTATGATTTTGGTAGTCATAAGTTTCCTTATCTAGAGATTTTTGCATCCCTGCTCTTAAATTACTGAAATGCAACATACTGATTATTTGAAAATACTTTGCTGCTGCTACATATTAGAGGTGGTTGTGTATACCTAGTTGGCCACTAACAGCATTTAATGGCTGAGATGATGGAGATCACTGATTTTCCTCTACACATGTATATTAACTACCTACAAAATTAGCGAGTCTAAATGTAATTTTGTAGCAGCAGCAATTCTTGTGAGCCAAAAGTACAATCCAGACTCATTCTTTACCAGCTCGATTACTTCAAAAATGGTTTTACAACACTCTGAGCATGTGTACTTAAAGGAGCTCAAGACCCCTTCCAAATACCTCAGGAAGAGTCATCAGTGTCACCAGATTGCTACATATTTTCAGTTGGCAGAGAATGGAAATAAATGGATTATGGAGGAACTGAAAAGAACAGTCATTTTTACTGCAGGAAGGAGCAGACCTGTCTTCTACACTCAATGCCATTCATATCTTAGGAGATTTTTTCATGTGGTGATACACTAGAATGCCAAAAGATTCTTGAGTGGCACTCTTCCTGGCAAATAAGCATAGTTGACGTACTTTTCAAGGGAAAAGGGCCACAAGCTTACTTATTTATCACTATCATGCAGAAATACGATGAAGACTAGGAATCTTGCATTTAATCAAGGAATCTTGCAGGTAAAATGGTTTGTGTATTTAAAGTTAAAACTTTTTAGATTATAGGAGGGTTTTGGACATACACAGGCATGACAAAAGGTAATAGTAAAGAAAGCATTTCTTGGGACTTTCCTGGTGATCCAGTGGTTAAGAATCTGTCTTGCAATGCACAAGACCTGGGTTCAATCCCTGGTGGGGGAACTAGGATCCCATATGTTGGGGTAAGCAACTAAGCCCGCATGCACACAGGAACTACAGAGCCCATGTCCCACTGCTAGAGAGCCTGCATGACGCAACAAGAGATCCCACATGATGCAACTAAAACCCAATGCAGCCAAATAATTTTTTTCATTGTGGCACTATTTATTTTAATTGGAGGGTAATTAGAATATTGTGATGGTTTTTGCTTATATCACTATGAATCAGCCATAGGCATACATGTGTCCCCTCCTGAATCTGCCTCCACCCTCCTTCCCCACCCCATCCCTCCAGGTTGTAACAGAGCACCGGCTTTGGGTTCCCTGAAAGTGTTTCTTAGTGAAATTTATATAAAGAGAGAATTGTGTAAAGCTTAAATGATAACTACTTGATTTTCTCAGTGACATGGTGATTGTCAGGAGTTCAGTAATTGGGTTGAACATGCTGACATAATTAAGGTTTCATAATAGTGTAGGATATTATTTTTTAAAGGGCTTGTCATTTCTGCAGTTGGGATATTTCTTATGAGTAAAAACAATTCAAGAACTATACCACTATGTAAATGGGATCATCCCTGTTACCAATCAAGCAAAAGCAGTGAGATGGATCTTCTCCAGATACAGAGGGTATAACTTGAAATTTTCATGAAACTTACTTTGGGGGCCCCTCTAAGAGAGGCAGACATCCTCCAGAGCATTGGGAACCAGGTACATTGAAGCCATTCTGAGTTCGTTCCAGAAAGCTGAATGAGCCTCATATTAAATACACATGGCCACAGAAGACAGACTTTTTGTGTATATGAGCTCCCCTATCCAGAGTCCACAGTAACAAGGGCAATAAGTCACTTGTATTGAGTCACCGCAAAGCCACTTCTCACAGGGGCAGCTCTGTGTATTCTTGTGTCCAAAAGGTCAGGAATTTACTTATAGTAGTTCATTTTCCCAAACAACCCAGGGAAGCCAGTTAGTCCTTATTAAAAAGTTTGTACCCAAACTACAAAATCCTTACTGTCAACAGTAGTCCTAGAGTTTGAAAGCAATAGCCTAAGAACTTTTATTAAACGTTTAGTATAAGACTTAAAATATTTAGAAATTTTTAATGGAATGTTTGCACTCCCACCTAACTGTTGAAACAACTTCAAAATTACTACCAAAATCACCGTTGTTTAGTCATTAAGTTGTGTCCAACTCTTTTGGGACCCCATGGACTATAGCCTGCCATGTCCCTCTGTCCATGGAATTCTCCAGGAAAGAATACTGGAGTGGGTTGCCATTTCCTTCTCCAGGGGATCTTCACAACCCAGGAATCGAACCTGCATTGGACCAAAATCACTGTGGCTGTCATATAAGAGACTAGAAGAAAGTCTGGATAAGGATTGCCCAGACAATTTTGAAAAAGATTAATCGAAAGGAAATTGTCTCACCAAATAATGAAACTTTAAGTAACTATGATCAAGCCAACATAGAATTGGCAATATAGAATAAGACATATCCATCAATAATCTAGAGCCCAGAGGTGTGGACCCTAGACCCCAAATAGATTAAAGTATGAAATGCAACTCCAGTAAGCAGAAATGTGCCCCTACTCACCCACCTACACACCCACCAAACCAAAAGATGCCTGTACCCTAATCTCTGGAGCCTGTGAATATTAGGAGTACTTCCCTCCATCCCTGGTCAGGCAACTAAGGTCCCACCTGCCACAGGGTATGGCCAGAATTTTTTTGCAAAAGGGAAGCAGAACGAGCGATTCAAAGAGATGAAATGAAGGGAGAAGGGGCAGGAGCGATTAGAACTGTGAGAGGCCCTTCACCCACCACTGCTGATGTCTAAAATGGAGGAATGGGACCATGACCCAGACCATCCAGGCAGCTTCCAGAAGCTGGGAAGGACCCCCAGCTGACAGCCATCAAGGAAATGGGGACCTGAAAAGAATTAAATTCTACCAAAACAACCTGAAAGTGAGGAATTGGATTCTCCCTTAGGGCTCGCAGGATGGAACAGAGCTGACCCTGTGATTTTAGCCTAGTGAGATCTGAACTGGGCTTTTGACACATTGAACCGTAAGGTAACAAGTTTACGCATTTGTTGTTCTTTTGTTTTGTTTTTTCTGGGCAGCATGTGGGATCTCTAATTCCCCATCACGGATTAAACCCACACCCTGGCATTGGAAGCACCAAAGTACTAGAAACTGTAGATTATGGATGTTTCAGTATGACAAGCATAATAGAGCTGATTTGCTTAAAGACATCTGCATAGCTGTCTAGCAGAACTAAACTACATCATAACATAATATTAATTTTACTAGAATTATAGAACTAAGTGTAAAAATAAACACTGAGAAAATGTAGGAAATAAAGTGTTAGAAAATATAGGAAAATATTTAACCCAAGAGTAAAAGAGACTTTTATAAAGGAAACCTAGAAATTACAAAGGAAAATACTAAAGGATTTAACCACATAAAAAAGTGAAATTTCTGACTTCAAGAAAGCATAGAGATGGGACTTTCCTGGTGGTTCAGTGGTTAAGATCCCTGACTCCCAGTGCAGAGGGCCTGGGTTCTATCCTTGGTCAGGGAACTAGATCCCACATGCTCCAACTGAGACCTGGCACAGCCAAACAAGTAAATAAAAATATTTTTTTAAAAAAAAGCATAGAGAAAATATAATTGCAAGGAAATACATACAGTATTTAAGACAGGTGGCATGTCAGCAAGTCAGGACAAACCAATTAAACGGTCTTATGCTCAACCCCAAGCACTAGAAATAATATGCAAAATAAGATGATCAACTTCTTTCAGAGAAATGTGAAAAATAATTTTCTATCCATCATATTGAGAAAAAGGTAAAAAAAAATTCTGATGGTGGCAAGGATGAAGATGGAACCAACACTTTCACACTTTTACTGATGTAAGTATAAATTGCTACTCTTTTAGGAAAGCAACTTGATGGTATCTT